CTGCAGGACCTCCACAAAGCCAGGCTGTCAGGAGCTCGTAACCATCTAGCAGGGCTCAGGTTTATTTTGTTTTTCCCAGAGGTGAACTGGCACTGCTGAAACTGCCACAAACCAGAGGGGGGGGGAAGCTTATTTTTTTGCTTATTTTGAACACGGGAAAAATGTAACAAATGGCAAGGAAGAATCTGACAGGCTTCAAGGAAGGTTTTGAAATAACAGAACTGCAGAAGGCAAAGGAGAATGGCACTTAATTCATCCTCCTTAGGGTAACTCTGCAGTTTCCCTTTCTTCTACCCATTTTGGCAGCCTCGACTGCCTTCAGACCACAGGCCTTGCCCATGAACTCATTCTTCTCTCCCCTCTCACCGCACAACAGGCGACAAAATCATCCTCCAAACACGACCACAGCTCCACCTTGACCACGGAAAACACCACGAGCAGCCAAAGGAAGCAGATGTCTAGCAGATCCATGCAACCCAGAGACAACCCAAATCTAATCTACTCCTCTAAGCCTACGTGCAGCGTTGCTTTCTGCCTTGCTGCTACCCACTGGTGTGCGGAGGCACGAAGGAGAAGGGGGAAAACACATCGGGCTGGCTTTAAATACCTGGTTTTTTCTGTGTTTCTGTCACGGGCTCAGAGGCAGCAAACTCAGAGGCTGGTCTGATGATGCTTGCTTATGGTGGGAAGAAGAAATTCAGAGGGCAGAAGACAGTGTGTCAGTTAGAGGGTGAAGCGGTGCGGGGATGGGGCAGGGCTCTGACAGGACTTTTTTAAGAGCCTGGCTGACTGAGGTGGCTTTAAAGCAAGGAGGGATTTTAATGCTTCTAAAACTCAGAAAGGAGGTGACAACAGGGTGTCTCACTTTGGGATTCTGACCCTGCTTGGGGTTATTGTGTCTCCTGCAAACGTGTGTCCTACCAGGAGCTCGAGGGGAAACCTCTTTAACAGGATGTTTCCCTTGAGGCCCAGGTGAGTTAGATCTGCACCCTGTGGGGATGTCATAGTGTTTAAAGAAATACTTTACATTTTGCAGGGAGGAGGAGGAACATCTCTGGCCAAAAGCAGATGAGAATTAAGCTGGGCCTTGATTCCCTTTTGCTGGTCAAGGGCACAGGTGGACCTTTGTCATCAAACCCAGCATGTTGCCCAGGTAGGAGCAGCTCCCTGAGCTCCTGGGTGGCCCTGGCTGCCTTCTTATGTGGAACAGCCCCTCCAGGGACTGTCACCACTCTGTGGTAGGACCTGGCTGTGCAGAAGCACAGATAGGGATCTAGATGGGGGCGAGGAGCTCAGATCTCAGGCCTGGCTGTATCCAGGCAGGGATCTGTCAGCTGGGCTGCAATCTATTAATTTTGTCCCTTGCCCTCAGTTAATGAAAGGATGAGGAAAACATTTTCTCTGGCCAGGAAGCAGGTTTTGGAGAAGGAATAAACCCCAAGGTGCATGATGTCTCTCAGGAGAGATTTTCCCCCACCACCCCCAGCCCCACAGATGCGTCCTGCCCGCACCAGTTGTACGACACAAGGCAGAGCACTGCAAGTCAGACACAAGAGAGGCACTAAGCACATCACCCACGTGTACACAGCTAAAAAACAGCCCTAAAATGTTGCTACAGGAGAGCATGGATAAAAATCAAATGACCCCAAGCATTTGGTGTGGATGGAGATGTGATCACTGCCCCTGCTGGGGCTGTGCTCATGGTGTGAGCTCCAGGCAGGGGTAGTAGAATAAGCTCCTCCTGCACATGAACAGCATGGATCTGGGTGAGGAACACTTCTTAACAGAGCTGAGACTTCCACTTTGTTTCCAGGGTCACTCCAACTCCATGGAAGTTGGTCTTAAGCCCTCAGCTTCCTGATTAACTCCCCAAGCAGGGTACTTCCATGAATATAATCTATATTTGCATAAACATGCAATCAAGTTTCCTCATCCCTTTGACTGGCTTCTGGCAGCTCCCCCAGACAGACTGTTACTAACATACTGTGGGTGTAAAACGTCCTCCTGGGAAATATCAGGCCCCTGAAAGCATGGCAAGGGGAGGAATGCGTGTCTAATTCCCCCATGAGAAGCTTAAAAAAAATGTCCTGCTGTTAAGTTTTATCTGCTCATTTCCAAAAGACAAGCGAAAACGCCGTCTCCTTGTTCACGGGGGGAGGGAAGGAGGAACCCCCAGGAAAAGGACACAAGTTTTCCTCCACGGGGTGATTTTGGAAATTAGGAAAGGATGTTTCTGGCATGTGTGTGTGAGTTCCAGCCCCACATGCTCCCTGGCTGCTTGTACAGCAGCTGCCTGGGGAATGTTGGCAGGAGGTCAGGGATGGAGCAGGATGGGGTGCAGTTCCCCTCTCCTTCCAGAGAGATGTGTGGTTTAACTTTATTATGGGACAGTAAAATCTTCCTTGCCTTCCTGCCCTGCCTTGTGGTGGAGCTGTAAGAGAGCACCTCTTGCAGCCATGCCAGCCCTGTGCAGGACAGCATTGCCAAGTGGCTCCAGGAGGGACGGATTTTGAAAACCTTCTGTTTTTAAAAAACAACAAAATTGAGAGGGAAAAAAAGGGAAAACCGATGGTTCCCCCACATCCAGTCCTGGCTTTACTTCTTGCTGCCCTGATGGTAACAGAGGGACAGCTGGTGAGGTGGGATGGCAACTCATGGGGTGATTGTCTCTTGGCTTTGAGGTGGACCTGCTGTGGCTGTCCTCGCTTACAGGGACCATAAACCTTGTTCCTGGCTCATGTTGGACAGGAGCTGAATAGAGACAACAGCAAACCAGAGCTGCCTGGAGGCTGGGAGATGTGAAATGAGTCAGGGTGATTTTTATCCATGTCTCTTTATCACCATCCTACAGAGCAGATATCCAGGGCCACCGACACGGCAGTCCCATGGGAAGCAGCTGAAAAGAGGAGCTGGGAAGAGTCCCGGCCTCCAGGCGAGGCAGCGAGCGTGGCACCCACCTGGCTGGGTGGTGGTGGCTGGTAGGGGCGTGGTGGTGGTGGTGGTGATGGTGGTGATGGTGGTGGTTGAGGTGGTGGTGGTGGTGGTGGTGGGCGTTGTTGTGGTGGTCGTTTTTGCAGTGGTGGTTTTTGGGGTGTTTGCCCGCTGCGGTCGCTCGTACGCTGACAAGCAAAGAGAAGAGGTGGGAGGCACTTACTGGGGGGAATGGAGGGTTTCCTTGCCAGCCTGCACTCCCACGAGGCTGCTGCTGCTGGGCTGAACTGGCGACTGATTTCTCAGCACGGTCACAACTGGGGCACCGAGAGGATTAAGGCGATGGCAGCTCGATGACGGCGGACGCAGCGAGCACATGAGTGAGTGAGTGTGTGTGTGCAGGGGCTGGAGGCTGTGCCTGTATCAGCTTACTCTGTTGGTGCAGATATTGGCTTAAATACTTACAGCTCTATCATAAACTAATTGCCAATTAAGCTGAAAAGGGGAAATGAAGGCATGTCTGGGCAGGGATGGGGTGAGGTGCAGGCGGGATGAACTCCCAGCCCAAGCTGTGCTTCCACTGCCCGGTGTCCACGTGCCCAGCTGTGCTCCTTACACAGCACCATTCCTTCCTGACACCCCCAAACTACTTAGCACCATCAAAACCAACCAGGATCACTGGCACCTGTTCATTTCCACTGGCACCCTGCAAATTAAAGGATGGTTCAGGGTCAGGGAGCCCCCGCAGAGCTGGGCAGGAGCGGCCCCGAGTGCGGCACCACAACAGCCCGAACTGAAATAACACTCAAACACAAATTCCTACTTAACTTACACCTGCTGCCCTCCTGTCCTTGTTTGTCCCACTGCTTCATGCAGATTATCATGCTTAATTTCATAATAGCCCTGAGCTAGTTTAAATACTTAATTTAGGTCACTTCTAGTCTCCTGTGCGGGCTAAATAATCTCTCCTTAACTGGCCTTGGACACAAATCCCTCCTGTCCACCTCCTGCACATCGCTCCCAGCACCCCCAAAGCTTCTCTCCAGCAGCAAATTTTGATGGGAAACGTTTTCCAGTGAAACAAAGGTAGCGCTGAGGATGCCAAGCTTTGTCAAGGGGGGAAAAAAGAGTTATCAAAATGGTTCTGACCAGGAAGCTGAAGAACATTTTGGACTGTTGAAACATTTATTTTTTCTAATTCTAAATTACTGAAGGGAGACTTTTAATTTTCATTTGAAAATTTTAAGCGTTTAACGGCTTAAAATCTAAATATGGTTCATTTACCCAGAAAACCTGTCCTCCACTTGTCAATTAGGTGCATTTTTCTTAATTGCATTTGCATTTCTCTGAAACTCTTTCTCCTCCAATTCTTCCCACTTGCCTGCAAACCAAAGAATTCATTATTCATTCAGCTCTCTGATTTGTTTCTTCTGGAGGGGAATTCTGAGCCACAAAATTCAGACCCAGGCTTCTGCTTACCCAAAACTCCAGGCTCTTTGATATCAAACTACCTCCAGCTTTGTTAAATAAGGAGTCCTCTCATCCCATCAATCTTGCAGCAGAAATCCCCACTGAGCTCTGCTGCCTTTGCTGCCGACACTTCATAGACATTTGTTCATACACCTACACGTGTACATGCAGATGTACACATGCTCTATATGTTTTTTTATTGATAGCCCAAGGTGACCCAGACTGGATTCTATGCCAAATAATTCACACCCAGCTCCTTCTCAGAGCAGAATCCTGCAATCCTGGGGGGTGGGGGGAGTTCGCAGCGAGCGCTGGTGATTTTGAAGAGTCTTTTTTTATTTCCTTTCCGGCTGCCATACTAACGAACCTCATGGGGGGAAACCATGCCAGAGGAAGAGGCAAAATGAGGCTCCTGAAGTCAAAGGAGGAAAATGTAAGACTCTTTGACAAGACAGAAAATGAGGCACAATTAGGGAAGACTTATTGCCTGGAAAACGATAATGGACAGAAAATAACCATATTTCTTTCTCCTAGTGACATCCACAAGGACCATGCACCGAGGTGTTAAATGCCAGCATTTCAGTTTGGGTTTTACTTACTGCCAAAGGCTGAGCCTGCAGCTGCACCTGGAAAAAAAAAGAAGAAGAAGCCCAGTCACTGGAAGCAGGGCACCACCAGCTCTGTTACCAGCAGGTCATACAGACACATAACCTTGGAGCAAATGGCAATTAATTAGTGGGGATCTTGCTCATGGGCACATCAGTTTGCTGCAACAAACAGCTTAAAAGCTGCTTTTGTCAAACCACAGAAGCAACCAGACAGTGCTGTCTGGGGTCTTGGCATCTCAAGCCTGTCATGTGGGGAAGGAAAACCAGCGTGGCCTTTGCTGATGGTTTTTTCTCTTAACCATTTCCTTGACCTGCCCTTAAAGCCCAGCAAAGGACAAGCACATCCTCTGAGGCTCAGTGGGCTAAGGACAAGCTGTAGGGACTGAACCAGTTCTCAGTGAGCAAGAAGGGCTGGACACTCTTCCCACTGCAGCATTTGCTCCACAGGACGCTGCAAAGGCACCAGCTCCAAAGTGCATCCAAGGACCAGCTTCTGGCTTTTGGCACTCAGGAGATGAGTGGCCCTGCTCCTCCCTGCTGTAACAAGTGGGTGAATCATGGAATGTCTCAGCTCTGCATGAATATAAAGCACAGGAGCAGCAACAGAAGAGGTAGGACTACCAAGAGAAGAGGGCTTCAGAGAACTGCCTCTGCTGCAGAGGAAGAGGATGTTGATGTGGGGAGGAGGAAGCAGCAGAGAGAGTTGGGGTGGGGAGGAGGAAGAAGACTGAGTGACAGATGGGAAGAGAGATGAATGGGAGAAGAGCAAGCAGAGGAGAAAGAGAAATAGGAAGAGACACAAGGAACGGAGGGGAGGGAGAGAGACAGAACAGCATGTCTGTGCCTGTCAACACCAGAAACTCTCCCAGGCTCCTTTGAAGCAATGCAGCCGCTTGGTGGGAGCTGACAAGCTCGTTCCCTTTCAAAGAACCTGCTCGTCTACCAGCCCTGGCACACACAAAACATTCCTGTCACGGCCTTCGGAGCCTGAATTTCAGCTTTGATCATCTTAAAGCACATGAATCTTTCAAAAAATTTGGGGGGTGGGAGGGAAAAGGTTCTCTTTGGCAACACTCAAAGCTGCTGCTTGAAAGGCTGGAGTGGCTACCGTGGCTCCGTGACATTTAAACAAGTCTGCTAATGTGGACTGGACAGAAACCCAGGAGGAACCGGCCCATCTGTGATGTTTCCTGCCCCAATTCCCCTGCTCGAGCGATGGTGGGGATGCATCCTCCATCCCGTCTTTGCTTCTGTCAGAGCCTTGTTCCAGCAGCAATTGGATGAGACTGGAGCTGCGCAGAGGGACCGGAGCTCGCGGCGCTTGCCTGGAACACTGACGTGCACAGAACGGGATCCAGGAATCAACCTGCACTGCTACTCCTACTCCACAGCCAGTGCTCTGCTGTGGTTAACAGTGCTTTCTCTGACGGACAATAATCTGCACTGCCACAAAGCCATGGACCTGTGTCTTGGCCTGAGGTCATCCTCCCTATTCCTGACCATCATTTAGGCTCATTGCTCATCTACCAGTAGCCAACACACCACCTCTGCATCCACCAGATCCTCCTTCATGTCTCTGTGCACAAAGACAGGGGTAAATACCCGCTTCCCTTTCGAAAGCTGAGCATCCTGCACCGATTCCAGTCGGAGAAGGACATGATGAGACCCTGCTCCCATCTGTGGGTGTTGTGCAGCCCAAGGTGGGAGTGCAGCCAGGGCTGGCTCCCTGCAAGTTACTTACATGCATTGGGGGACCCGTTAGGGAGAGGCAGGTAGGATCCTGCTCGCCAAGACCGGGAGCGAAAGTTCTTCTTGCACTTGCCGCAGTCCTGCCCCGTGGTGTTGTGCTCACACTCGCACTGCAGGCTGCCCTCTTTGAAGGTGCACAGGTTAGCGTGGAGGTTGCATTTACACCTGGAGGAAGAAGACAGGGAAGAGCTGTCAGGTGTCACTGCTGCTCCTCTTTGCCCCTGGTGTAGTGCTGAAAATGTAGTGCTGAAGCCAGGCTGGTCACCCCCTTTCTGTTCCTTCTGCAGGACTTTATCACTGAACTCAGCAGTTTTCCCCAGGTATGTGCTGGAGTTATGATGTCCAATTCCTTGCCCAAGGTGCATCTGCTGTCTCTAGTCCAAGATGAGAGATGCTTTCTCCCACCATCCGACTGCAGTAGCACAGACTTTAATGGTAAGTCAATGTCTCCAGCTGAGACTCCAGGAAGGAGTCACTCACATTTCAGGGCTGTTACAGAAATCTGGGTGATTACCTCAGATAGAGGCTTTTACTGGGAGGCAGTCTTGGACTTTAGATGGAGGAGCATGGCCAGCACTGGTGGGACTTGGCCCTTGCCCCTTGTGATAAAGTCAGCAGTGTTTTCTCCCGTGGTGTGAAGCTGCAGAGCACAAACCCTTTTCCCCAGCCTGCTGTGACCAAAATAACAGAGCAAGTCACCATCAGAATGCGCCTCATCAGAGAAGGCAACAACTAAAAACACTATTCAGCAATTTGCAAACATTAAGAAACTTTTAATGAGCTGTAGTGCAGTATGCAGGGAATAATTATCTCTGTGCACAATAATTCCTGTTGCTCACACTCCGGAGGTGACTTGCGCAGAGCACAGAGACTGAGCCCATAACTCACACGTGGCTCTGGTGACTCCTGGGCCCGAGCTCAGACCATCAGACAGAGACTTTGGGGACCAAAACATCTCATTTCATTCCAGACAGTCGATCCCTAGCACAGCCCGATGCTTTGTGCGATAATTTACACTCTCAGAAGCAGAACCATTAGGAAAACAGTAACACTGAGCCTTTTGTGCACGGGTGAAATCTGATGGGGCAACACTTTGTTTTACAAGGCTGAAGAGATGCAGAGCTGAGGGAATGAACCACATGCAGAGAAGACAGAGGAAACATGGCCTGCTGCTCCTTGTGCTCTATCTGCACTGGGATAAACAGCCTGGATTAGGCTGGGAGCTGGGAGCAGGTGCTGCACATGCCCCCCAGCTCCTGGTGCCTCTCCCCCTCTCCCTTGGAGCCCCCAAAGAAGCTCCCCAGCCACCTGCCTGACCCTCTGAGGCTGCCTTTGCTGTGCTTTCCTCACGCATGGCTGGATAAGCTGACCTCATGTATGATTTTCCCCCCCTCCCCTCCCTGCCCTTAATTCTAGCAAACCCCGCTCAGAGGCTCAGCATAAGCTGGATGAACGATCTCTCTCCCCATCTTACAATCCTGCCCTGTCTCTGACCAAGCAGAGGAGGGAATTTTGCAGTTTCTAAAAGGGAGGGAGGAAGAAAACGTGTTCTAGGGAGCAGAGGCAGACACACTCAGCATGCTCCACTTGAAACTGTGTGTTGGTGAGAGCTGGAGATGCCGTGTCACGGCTGAAAGCATTAACAGCCTCCGAGCATCGGTGCTCTGGGAGCAAGTCACAAATCCAAGCATCCAGGGGAAGGAAGTGGCTTTGGCTGGTACCTACACAGGAGGGAGGCTGAATTTCAGATGCTCCGTGTCCCCTCTGCCTCTGGTGAGGAAGGATTTTGGCTGAGCTGTCCCAGCCCTGTGGCAGAGGTGATGCCCAGCCCCAGAGTACTGCGGAGCCTGGCTCTGAATTATTCAGCGTCCACACAGTGTGGCCTCCTTCTCTCACTTCAAAATGAGCAGACGAGAGCAAAGCAGGCAAGATAGTGGGTTAAAGCAGGTCAAAGCCTCACCACTGCTGCTCTGGGCCCAGCTTGAACAGAGCAACAGCTTCTGGGAGCTGCAGCTCTCCTCTCTCCTCCCTCCTCCTGTGGTGGGAGCGAGGGGATGGGACCAGCTCCAGGGCACAGCATCACAATCCAGCTGAGGGTGAGTTTAAGAGCCCCAGGGAGTGGGTACAAGGAATGCAGGGACTGTCATGCCCCTTGTTTTCCCTGAAGGCTGGGATGATGTTGAGGGTAGCACTTGGCTCCAGTCCTTGACCCTGCCAGTCTTGCAGTGGGGACAGCAGCCCTGGGGGGCCACCACTTGGTCCCTGAGGTGGCCTGGGACAGCCTCAATAACCCCCTCCACACATAGCACATCGTTGCTCCTGGCATCCCCCACCAAGAGCCAAGCAGATGTTTTGAGGTGCTTCTTCTGGCTCCAAGCTGCTGCAGTGCAGGAGGGCAAGACCTGTTCACTGTTAATTTGGCTCCAGCTACAAAACCCTCACCAAGCAGTGGGACCCAGACTTCTTGCTCTAGGGAAAACAAGAGCAGTCAGATGTGTCTGCTCACACACACACACTGCTCACTTACTGCTGAGGAGGGCTGGGAGCTGAGCACCAGCTCCTGGGACAGCCCCAGCTGCCTCCTGCCCTGGCCAGCGGGATGGAGATGGGGTGGGTGCTCAAGGACGTCCCTCAGCCACTGCATGTAGGTGTGATGGAGCTCTGCTCTTCCCAGAGAAGATCCTCACTTCCTAATTGGTGTAAACAAGGAAAACTAAGTAAAGAGAAAGCAGAGGCAGACGTTCACCTTGCCTGCCTGGGCCCAGGTCACTGATTTTTCTTACTCGCCCTTTGCCACCGTGCAGAAGTTTTTTTATCCAAAGGATCAATTTTACCTGGGAATTGCTTTCTGAATTTGACCTTTGAGGATCATCAATCTAAGCAGAGAACTGTAACCCCAGCAGGCTGACCCCGCAGCACAGCACTTTTCAGCCCAATCAATCAGGCTGCATTATTTAATGGCCAACAGCCGAGTGCTGTCAGCCAGCCCTGATTGCCAGCCTTGTTTTGGGGAGAAGGTTTCTGCATCCCAGCCTTCCTGCTGCTTGGGCTCAGAGGCTCGTCTTCAACCCCTTCTTCAGGCTTCTCTGCCTCCTTCTCTGGGCCTGCAGCCCAAGGACATGTGCTTGTTGATGGTCTGCGCACAGCCAAGACTCAGCTGGCAGAGACTGGAGTAAATGGCATTAGCCCAGTCCCCTGGGTGGGAGCTGCTAGTCCTGCCCGCCTCTGCCCGTGTTCCTCGGCGGCCAGCCATGGCAGGAAGGAGAGGATGAAGGGAAAGGTTAGGAGCTACTTAGCAGTGAGGCTTAAATAGCAGGCTCGGGGCAGACACCTGCGCCGTGTCCTGCAGCGATGGCCCCGCTCCAGCCCCGGGGCTGCTCCAGCAAAGTGCTGGTTGCAATATGGTCTCTCCGGCTCTGGAGGGCTGAAGAGCCAGGAGTGTTTCTCCTCCAACTCGTGGGTCAAGGCTCACAGCGACAGTGCTGTTTCTCAGTGAGCATTCAGAGCCCACGGTGGGGAAGAGCCCGAGGAGAGCAGCCCCAGAGCACACCCGTGAGCAGCACCCACAGCCTGGGGACACCCACCCTGCACTGGGGAGCAGGTCACACAACTGCACTGTGCATTAAACAGAGACTGGCTCACACTGTTCCCAGCAAGGGAGGTTGGGGCACTGTGTGGCCCAGGACGTTACAGTTTGCACAATGGGGTATTTAGGACTTTATTTCAGTGCAGTTGTTCAGCTGCTGCCTTTCCTCAGAGTGGTGCAGTGTGATCTGATGCTGCCAATGCCTCCACCAGGGAACATCACGGAGCTTGGAGCGCCAAGGAAAGTTTACAGGAAAGTGTCCTTCTTTTTTTTCTTTTCTTTTTTTTTTTTCCCAGCCATAAAGAACAGTTTCCTGCATTTCTCCAAGTCAGCATCCTGGAGGTCACAGCAGCGAGCGGCTGGAGAGGTGTCTGGTGCCAAGCCCATGTGTGAGGGAAGGAGATGCCCATGCAGAGGAAGGGGGTGAGTACAGAAGCCATGCTGGGATTGGGAAAAGAGCCCCTTTCCCTGAGCTTTCATTAATAATGACTTTTGAAGTTAAAAAGTCCTCCCAGTCCTTTGTTTTCCTTCCAAGGATTCTTATTACAACCTCTTTTTTTTGTCCCTAACCCCACTTGCAGAGCAGGGAAGTAAGGCAGAGAAAGGCAAAGAGCACCTCCTTATCCCTCTCCCTCCCCATGGGGCCGAGACAGTGTTGGGGTGCTGGCACTCCCCTTCAGGACTGATGCAGTGACCCCACTGCTGTGTGGGGTAGGGCTGGAGGAATCACTTGCTGACTGGAGACCCAGAGAGCTGTTCTGTCCCCTTGCACCTTCCACCGAGTTCCCACGGAGACAACACTGCCCTAAGCTCCTTAAAAAATCCTGGGACAGGACATGGAGTAGCAGAAGTCCACTACAGTGGGCTACCATCTTTCCAAGTCTCCTTCCAGCCCAGCCTGCACACTCCTCTCCACCCTGTGCTTACCACGAGGATGCTGCCATGTGTCCCCAGGGATTCTGTGGAGACTGGTCCCCTCCTGCTGGTTTCTGAGACATTGGGCTCCTGCTTTTCACCCTCACCGGTGTGGCTTTGCCCCCCTGCTCCCTGAGCTGGTGCTGGGGAGAGGCAGCGCTCAGAGAGCTGCTAATGACTGCCGGCCAAAGGAAGGCTTATCAGAGCTTCCCCTGAATTGTTTGCTCTCACCGTAATTGATGAGCCTTTAATGAGTCTCATGGGACGATGTGTTTGAAGGGAGCTCTTTCCTCTCCATCCCCAAGGAAAATGATGTTTCAACTGATCTCGGCTCTCGGGGAAACATGAATAACTCTTTTCCATCTCTCTATTGTCATCCCCAGCCGTTGCTCTCAGCACGCTCCAGCAGCTGCCTGGCCATCACTTACCCACTTTTACCTGCTCCTTTGCAACTGTTTTGGCAGCTCAGCAAAAGCAGGGAGCAAATCTTTTGGGCAAAGCATAACGGGTGCTGAGCTTGGATTGTTTCTGGCCCATCTGTGCGTGTGGAAGCAGGTAAAAATAGCTTCTAATGGCTGGGCCATGGAAGAAGCACAGTCCCTTTGTGGGGAGCAGTTATATGAGGATTTGCCTTGCTGGGAGATTGCTCTGGCAGAGGTTTGCT